ATAATAATTCTCTTCTTTTGCTGATGCGTCATATTTCTACCAATTTAGTACATATATTTGTTATTCAATAATGATAATTGCCACGAAATTGCAATATTTATGTGACTGGATTTAAGAACGGAATATAATTCAAATGTTACCTGAGAAAAGTATTTTAAAAAAGTCTTAACTGAGAAAAGTGTTTCTCTCGCTATTCTCAATTCGATGGAAGGAATATTTTCAGGTGTCTTCGAAATATCATAGAATAGCCATCTTATAGGAGTGAAATATCAGGCTGCGATGTAAAATGTGTATACTTGCGTAATCGCACGCATGCACAACATTACAGTGCGCAACACGAATTTCTTGCTTTTTCATTCGTTCTCGATCGCGTGCGAGAACAAAGTGTTTCTAAACAGAAACGTCCATTTTTCCTATTTGGAAGAACACGTGTCGGAATATCGTTTCTGTTTCTCATAATCAAGTTGTTAGCGTCATGTTAGTGATGATTCACGATTAACTTGTTGTTAGAAAGTAATCAACGTCCCTGTCGAGAAGTCGATGGAATTATAGCACTATATAGCGATAAACGATTGATAACATGGTGGCTTGGCGAGTCGGGGAGAAACGCGCATTGTTGCATGATTATGATAAGAAGAAATTTCACATAAACACATAGCATTTCGCCTATGATTAATTAGTAATCGAAATGTATCAGCAGTTAGCGAAATCGATAGTCGCGCGAGATGAACGAGAGAACAAATAATTAATCATGGATAACTCGCGTAGACTGAGAACTAAGATGTATGGCGGGCTATTGTTAACGCGATGGGCTCAGAAATTCAATTTTGGTAGAAAGCGGGATAAAGGGTCGCTGCCGCCGCCACCGACGCTGCCATCGGGGGTGAGAATACGATGCGTAAGAGAGGGGAATCAGGGGTTGTACTCAGGACATAGAGTTATTGACCTGCCGACGAGAAGGTTCTCTTGTTCGGGAGGAATGGCTGGCAAGAACTTTCTCGAGGTCGTTTGCGTGGCGCACGAGACGTCTCGTTGTTGAGGTAGAATGTAGAAAAGAATCAGCCATTCGCTCTTTAATCGATAAAGCTATACACAAAGACTTTATACCCATTTATGTTTTGAATTTTTTGTATGCTACGATATGAGCTACATTATCATATTGTATCAACTATATTACGTTTATGTTCTTATTTTTCCCCGATGTTAATCTTTAATCTTTAATTATGTTAATACGGATGATCACAGCACATCTCAGGTATAGTTTTTCTTTAAAACTTTGTTCTGAAAAAAGAAAAAAGTATTGCCCAGATACTCAGAAGATTTGAAATTCATTATCTTTATATTCCTCTATCTTGTAAGGGAATAATTAATGTAAATTTAACTACACTGAGAAAAATGTCTGGTTGAAAATGGATTAGAAAATTCTAATCATATCAATGAAATTTCTCTGATTATTTTAACTAGAAGTATAATAAAGTTAATCAAAAAATTTTGATTGATCTGTTCATGTTAAAAAATTCCTTAATAGCAGATTCTTTTTCAAATGTATAACATAATACACTAGTAAAAAGTGTAACTATAAATTAAATTTTTTAAGCATCCCATCTATCAACTTGTGCATTATTAAATCTACCTACTTAAACATTGTGTGTTAGGATTGCAAATTTAAAATATCACCTCCCAAGTCTAATACCATCATTCATTACGTTTCATAAATAGTCTTATAAATGAATTTGATCGCGGACATTAAAATCTTTTTTTCTCTGAAATCATCTTTTTATCTTTTCTACCTTGGTATTTCCTACTAATGAGATTAACAGCCTGCATTGATATAGTAATAAATGACGATGAAACTTCATTTCGACGAAAGATTCTTTTTTAAAAGAAAATACTTTGTTCTATTAACATTATATGACAATGTACGTATATTGACGATTTTTGTTAATTTTGAGAGTGTTCTTCTAAGGTTCCTTGCTGCGTGTGTCTTATATCTCCTGTCGAACCGCCTGTTGAACAGTCTTTGCCCTAAAAATATTTTCTCATATTTAGGAGACTCGTGTTTTTAAATAGATTCGTTATGCCATTCCATTCTTTGCATAGAGTGGAAATGTTGAGAATGACGATGCGATTTGATATGTACTTTCAAATAACAGAATGAGGCAGTTATTAGAATAATTAAAACTGTAATGGATCCCTTTATTGAGTGAAAGTGACCGAGCAGGACAACGCTTGATTATTTCGTCGCGTTTATGTAACACGCCGTGGAAATATAATTGCCCGCCGCATTACGCCGTGGGTACCCCTGCCTCATACACACTCACACACGTAGAAGATTTGCAACGACACTCTGTTTGTCATGCAAGCGTAATGGACTTCTCGACCACCGTCTAATACCATCGTTGCTTTTTCTGCCAGCCAAAGTATAACCAATGTAACCGCGAGCCATCGTCAGTCCAAGTTCCTCGACGATGAGGAATTATCGTCGGATCAGTGAAAGCATATCACTCTGTACATACGTAGACACAGATAGAACGCGTAAGAAAGAGAGAGAAAGAGAGAATTAAACACGACAATTGTAGAGTTCATTTTAGATATGCGATCTTTTTCGTAATTTGCATCATTTTGTATAATTTTAAATCTGCGAGTCTTCTCGTTGTTTCGCGAGAGATTTCGCTTTTAGTCATTCGCATTAAATTAGTTGGAAATGTTTTTTCGCAAATTAACGTGGGCGTTCAAGATTTCCCGAGTCTTCCTTTGAAGAAAAGTTTACACGGTTATTAAAGTGTTTTACACGTTAAAAGATTGAAAAGGAAAGTACGTGAAATCACACAGGACGATATTCCTTGTGCGATCGCCGCGGGAAAGAAGGAAATCATTTTTCACCTGCGAGCTCCGGCACTCTCATAACGCGCCGTTATACTCGGAGGTCAATCTTGGTCGACCCAGCGCGCTCGAGTAAACGCGATCTTCCGCGACGCGATTAATTTTCTCGTGTGTCCACCGCACTCGCGCATGTAGACATACAGATATACACGTTTCCTTTGACATGCTTTGAGCCGACGATGAGCTGAAACTGCGTAAACTTCGTACAAATATCGTATTGCATCGCTGTACAGGCGATAGCATTAGCAAATCATAAAGTCTAATGTGAGTCTAATGAGAATCGATGGATATGGCGAGGGATATATAAAAGCGAAATGCTTCTTCTCCGATTGGTAATATGAACAGATCATTAGAGATAAGATGTATTGGTGTATCGACACTCTTGTGAAAGACAGACTGACATTAAATTATCTAAAATCGATCTGCAATAAATGTGAGAAAGTTATCATTCTTTCGAATTCTTTTCTGTGTTTCTATATAGGAAGAATGGTTTTGCTGAAAGATAAAACTTTACTGAATATATATAGATTTAAAAATAATTTCGTTAGGTCGTCTCAAAATAATTATATTGGAAAAAATTATGAAGTGCTATAAAAAATTTTGATATATAGATATAACAACTGGTTTGAATTTTGAAATAATAAAATTATTTTCAGATCTTGCTAGACGATCTAATTTTGCTGATATAGATCTGAAAATAATCTTGATGGACTATCAAAATAATTGCATTGGAAACTCAAAATGATGAGCAATATTTGCAATAATTGCAGATATAATAATTTTTGCTATTTTAGCAACTATTTTGAATTTTCAACAAAATTATTTTTTTTCAGAGCTTACTGAAAAATCTAAAATTTAGCCAAATACAGATCTGAAAATGATCTTGTTAGATCAAAATAATTATATTGGAAATTTGATGAGCAACGTCGCAAAAAATTTTGGTATTTTAATAATCGATTTGAATTTCTAATAAAATTATTTTGATGGTCTAACAAAATTCTTTTCAGATATGTATCCAGTGAGAAAGTTTCTTTTAACAAAATCGTTCTTTCCGTGTGGCCATCAACAACAATGAGAAGCAATGTTTAGACGAAGCTCTTACCGACGATACTTTCCCTTTCCAAGCTATCACCAAGAGACAGAGGCGCGTATGTAAAAGTTACACGCAAAAATCACCGCCCGCCTATCCACGCGATATAATGCAACTCGCCGCGTGATTACGAGATCATGCACCGCAATTTCACGCGGTCGCAAAACATCGCATTTTACGCTCGTCTCTATGCGGGTACGATCGCACGCGCTCGCTTCGCCAATTACGTCGCTCGTTGCTTGTATGACTTGTAAGTTGGACGAGCGATAGGTAATTACGCTAATCGATCCCACGTTCGTATTAACTGTTGTAACACTTTGCACGATAAACGTCCGCGACCGGAATTCTACGACATCATGACTTCTTTAGTCCTCATCCACGTATTTTATCAACCTGAGATTTATTCACGTGGCAAAACATTTGATATTTTTTCGCAATGTATCATAATTTTCTACATTTCTAAAGGTATTTTTTGCGTAACAAAAAAATTTGTGTGTGTGTGTGTGTGTGTGTGTGTGTGTGTGTGTGTGTGTGTGTGTGTGTGTGTGTGTGTGTGTGTGTGTAACAGAATTTAATCTAATAAAAAGAATGTTGTTTTCGGATATTAGTGCTTAATAATATTCATATATAGATTTACATATATATTTTTCAATTTCATAAACTGCACATTGATTTAATTTGTCAGATTTCAAAACGCAATCATAAACTGAATGTAGAAATAACATCATCAATTACATCGTCCAATTAATAATGATCTCAAAACACTATAAAGAATTTATTGCAAATAATATTACTTCAGTCAGGGTATTTATAAATGTTTTTTATAAATCTACATGCATATTACTGCGTATTAATAAATCAAGATTCGATTGAAAACAGAATTCTCTCTCTTATTTCATTTATTTTTATCGATCTAATTTTTATTTATGATTAACAACTTTGTTATTATTCTTTAATTGCTGGCTTTACTTTGCATTCCGTCCATTTATGAAAAAAATAATTAACCTTGATCTTTTTTCTGTTTCAGCATAAGATTGGCGAAAAACCTAATATACAGTTCCTAGGAAATGATGGGGTGAGTAAAAACAATGTGTTTTTTTCATGTTTCCTAAAAATTATATGTCCAATATATGAAGGAATGACATTGAGAATCCGTTGATTGATAATGCGCGAGCACGGAAAGATAACAAAAGATTAGAGATAATCAACGTTTACCAATCGCAAACATAGATATCAAGATTTTAAATTTTCCATTAAAAAAAAAGAAAATGTTTTCCATCTTGTTTGTTAAAAAATAATATATGTATAGAACGCTTGTCAAAATGATAATATTAACTGTTACAAAATTATTACATTTAAAATAAAACTATTACATTTAAATCATCGTGTTTCCTTAAATTGCTGTAACATTAGTACACTGAAAAAAAGAATTATAAAATTTTAATAAATATTTATTTAAATAATACTAACTAAATATT